AAGAATATGTTGGGTTGAGTTGGAAGGTGAAGATGAAGATGAAGATGCAGAACAGTTTTGCTGGGCTGTTTAGTCCATAATTTTAATGTGTTCGCCTTAACTTTTACTGAATTAAAGGTGTTACAGCCAATTTTTGTTGAGATGCTTCTCTGATCAATTTCACCTCTAATGGTGATTCATATGTGATGACATCATCTTTAGGGAGCCAGTTGAGTTGAATAAGTACATCAAATACGGTGCAAACTGAACATAATGAATTTTGCACCGAACATAATGAATTTTATTGTGCACAAGCTTGTCAAACACAATTTCAATTAATTATTTAAAGAAAAAAATATTATGTAAACTTTATGAAAATGAGTTTTTAGAACTCTAGCCCAATCTATTCTAAATTTCTGAAACCGTCCCTAGGCTAAGGGCCATCCGCTCGTCGGGAAGACACACGAAGGAGATTAATCGGACAAACGGCGGGTGAAGTTAATTTGGGGAAGAGGGAAGAGAGGAATTAGGAGACGCATTCTTTAGAGATTAAGGGGGTGATTGTATGTATATTATACAGTAAAAATATCAATCAAAATTCATTTAACTCAACTCTACTATCTCATATATTATCCATATAATAAAATAATATCAACCAATAATTTTAGACATCACATCAATTTTAATTCACTATTCATCCACTCACATAATTTTAACTAACTATCACTTCCAATCATTTTCTCATACTTTTACATCAATTCAACTTTAATTATTTTATTTTAAATATTATTTTAATATATCCACTAACAACTAATCATACTACTTTTATTCAAAGTTAACTATAGTTAAAAAAAAAATCAATTTTTTGCTAGTTGAATTTATATCCAATCACCCCCTAAAAATTTTGGCGATTGTGACAACTTAAAACTTAATAATACATACTACTACCTCATATTCTTTTTAAATGTCATTTTAAATATTTTGTACATATTTTTCCATTATTATCATCATCTAGTTAATAAATACACTATTGTCTTTTCATATTCACTATTCATCTTTTCTCAAAACATTCATCTCTATCCTCATTAATGAGGTTATTATTGGCAGAAAAATATTCTCAATAACTGTGCAACTTCTTAAAAAGACACTTATATATTATGAATAGAAGGGAGTAGTCATTAAGTTCCACAGATTAACCACTAAACAACAGAAATTACATCTATTACTACCTCCTTTTTTAAATAAATGTCGTTTTGACTTTTTTGATTCATCCATTTTGCTATGTATCTAGACATTAATATATCTATATACATAGCAAAATGGATGAATCAAAAAAATCAAAACGACATTTATTTAAA